AGATGTGCATGGGGATATCTCAATAGAATGGAGGGAAAACCCCTGAAAACAGGTGGTGAATTAAAAACAAGCATTCACCTGCATCCTATGAAAACTTCACCAAATTACAGTAAACAGAGTTGAGAATGCAGTTCTGTGGTAGTGTGTTTTCTTAGCATGTAACTGGGTCTACATTCAATCCGACAGCACTGAAAAAAAAGAACATTAATGTTGACACTACAACTAATATTTACTCTCCTTCCCAGACATATTTCTAGAATGCTGTTGATCCCATGTTTACACTAAGCATTGGAGATTAGTGTCCTTTCTAAAATTAATGGTACGCGTTGGACTTCTCACCACTCTGACAGAATCCTAGTCATGAACTACTTAAAAGGAGGAAATGTTTACTTCAGATCAATGTTGTGGAAGTTTCAGTCCATAGTCCTGGGGTCCACTGGTTCCGGGCTCATGGTAAAGCAGAGCATCATGGTAAAGCAAAACACGTGGCAGAGCTATACACTCATGGTGGAGAGGAAGCAGAGATTGGAAGGACTGAGGGACCAAGTATAACCTGGGAAAGCACATCACCAGTGACCTACTTCCCTCAGCCAATCCAGAGCTCCTATTTTCCAAACTTCCCAAAATAGGACCACCAACTGGGGAGCAAGCATTCCATGCAGAGAGAGGCATTTCATGTTCATATCGTGTTTGTTTTGGGTTCCTCACCCAAACTGATCTGATCTGAGTCCACAATAAAAATGTATCAACCATAAGTCCAGAACTTTCTATATCCTTTTTCTTTTCTATCCTATTTAAGTTTTGAACAGAAAACCATGATGGCAAGAAACTAGATGGTAGTGGTAAAGTCCAAAATAAAGAGAAGGAAGCAAGTAGACATAGGTTATTCCTTGATAAAAACATTTTAAAAGGCTAAATTTTGGTCTGTGTAAATTGATCACTTCTTATTTTAGGAATTTTTATATTAGGAATATATTAAAAATCTGCTTCACTCTGTACAACACCTTAATAGTAGCAGTAAAATTATATTAAAAATGTAAAAAAAAATCTTTGTTAGCTAAGGACTGATTTGTGAATATAACATGCATACATAAAACTATACGTGCACATATTTTTAAAAAAATTATTTTTGCCAGTCCTGGGGTTTGAACTCAGAGCTTATCCTTGAGTCTTCTGTGCTCAAGCCCAGCACACTAGCACTTGAGCCACAGTGACACCCACAGCCTTTTCTGTTTATGTGGTTCTGAGGAATGGAATCCAAGGCCTCATGCATGCTAGGCAAGCACTCTACCACTGAGCCCACTAAGCCATATTCCCAGCCCTATACTCGTATACATTTGCAAAATAATTGTTTAGGGAGTTTCTAAGTTGCCTTTGGGTGCTGTTATTCACAAAAGTAATGTTTTAGTAAGGTAAATTCAACACAGTAATGAGAGCATTATCTAGATCCCTTATTATCCCTTTATATTTCTTCTTTTTTTTTTCTTTTTTTGTCGGTCGTGAGTGTGAGGTCTGTACAGAATCACCTCCATACCTCTTGGCTAAGTTTCTGCCCCTATCTGTTACCTAGGTAACTGGCAGACCTAGAAGACCTGCTAGGTCACATCCTGGGCCACCTCTGGTCACAAGCCTCCCATCTGACCTTAAGAAGGTTCTAGACCCTGAGGTCAAACCCGATCCAGTGTGGCCACACCTCTTCCTGTCCCTGGCCTAGATAACCCCTGGCCTAGGGGTAGTTCTCACCTTCCTTTTCAAGCTATGCCTCTCCACCTTGCGTGGTGGGGGCAGCAGTTCAGTAAATAAACTTCTTTTCCTGCCTGAATAGTGCATGGTGTTCTCTTCATCAGCTACCTAATGAAGCCTACCTATTTAATAAGTCTTACATATGGTGCCATGACTTGGATGGGGTTTTTGAGTTGGAAATGTTAGAATTTCCTAGCCATCCCCTGGGCCTGGGAGCTGTCCCTGAACTCTTCAGCTCAAGGCTAGTGCTCTACCATTTGATCCACAGTGCTACGTCTGGGTTTTTCTGCTTATGTGGTGCTGAGGAATCGAACCAGGGCCTCATGCAAGCAAGGCAAGCACTTTACCACTGAGCCACCTTCCCAGCCCATCACTTTATATTTCTATGAATTAAAGAAAAAGTCATCTGTGTAGTTAGTTCCTTCATACGTTTACCTATTCTAGGCCAGGTAGGGGTAGAAATCCTTTCATTCTTAAGTATATCTTACCTTGCAATGTGATTGTTTAATTTTAATTACCTGTGGGTACATTGACAGATCCATTACTGCTGAGAAGTTTGTGTAGGGATAGACACTTTATTAACCACAGAGTTATTTATGTCTGTCTAATAAGTACCTTCCTGATCGGCCAAGAATCACCTCTGTTGGTTTAGAGGCTACACTATATGGAGTGTTTGGTGCTGTACTGTGATAGGACAAGTTAATGGTTTGGATTGAATACCCAATACAATGAATAAATTGCATGCTCTGAAATTAAGGAGATAATCTCATTACAGCTTGCAGGAGACATAATCTCCAAGTTGGCAAGAAACAGAAAGTCTTTTTAAGGTGTCAGTAGACTTCAGCTACTTGCATGATTTAAGCTACTTTTTTTAGTCATAAACCAAAGTCTAAAGATGACTTCATACAACTTTTTGAATAATAAGATTTTCCTAAATTACTACTTCTTTCACAATTACCTAAATTTTATAAGACTATCTCTTTAGGAACTTATATTTAGTCATCTAAGCATAAAATATTAATGTGCTAAAATATATTTCTTTTTTTTTTTGGTGTGTGGGGACCGGCCTTCAGGTCTCACACAACTTTTTTGCTCATGGGTGGAAGTCTGCCATTTCAGCTACACCTCCAGTCCAGCTTTTCTGTTGGTTAATTGGAGATTAACTTCACTGCCAGGGCTAGTTTTGAACCTAGATTGTCAAATCTCAGTCACCTGAGAAGCTAGAATTACAGGTGTGGGCCACTGAGACCAGATTGTTTTTCAAGACAGAATCTCATTATGTAGCCAAGTCTGGCTTCACACTGGGAAAACACATCTGGCTTAAAATTTACCCTTTTAAAATATAAAAAATCTTCTCAAAAGATATAGGAAAGCATAATGGTTTGCTATTATATATTTAAATAATGCTATGAACATGATACAGAAAATATTCAACTCCATAAATGCATGAGACCCTACTAAATGATATGCCTCCAATGTGCTCTGCTTCCAAGAGTGACAGAGATCAACAATGTATGTGTCTTTCCAAAACAAAGTAAGAGAGGCAAAAATGTGAGGATAAGAAAAAAAAAAGGTAGGAAATAGCATAATATGAAAAGTCCTTTAGGTAATTTCTAAAATGGACTTTAGTTAGGGACTGTGGGGGGGTCTCCCGAGAGTGCATTTGATTTCTACTGGAGTAGGACCTAACAAGGGTAACAATGTAACGAATGGTTTCCACTATAAAGGGGTTCACACTACATAAAGCTCTCCTAAATCTGTGAAGGGGATACAATTAAATTCTTTTTTTAAAATGAATTTCATAAAGTATAATAGAAATATAAAAGTTAAACATTCCATACTTGTAATTATTCCTGTTTCCTCAATAGAAAGTTTCTAGCGATTGCCTCACATTGATACTTGGACTCCTTTTAGTTAAGACAGAATTGCCCTCAAATGAACTTAAAGCAGAATTATGGTGTGAGGCTCAGGTGGTGGGTGTTTTTAAAAACTTCTCCACATAATTTTAATGTGTGGCTAGGGTAAAAAAAAAAGTCTGAGCTACTATTCTTCCTGATAATTTATTTTCTCTGCCCGGTCTTCTTTGAATTTTGCAATATTACTTTATTAGCTTCCATTTACTGAGAACTTACTGCGAGCCAGGCCAAGTGCCAAGCATCTTTTAAATGCATTATCTCATCTGATTTTCATCTCAACCCCGTGGGCATAGATACCACCTCTAAATAACTTGCCACGTAGAGTCCAAATTCTTACCACAGAGCTGTGTGACTTCTTTTCTCTAATTCGTCCCTGACTGGGTCCCTCCAAAATATCTCTGCATCTACAAATAATCGTTCACTGGGAAAAGCAAGAACCAGCCGTGGAGGACAGACACCAGGAGGGGGAAGCCATGCTGTTTGTAGGGTTGAAGAGACTTTCAACTAGAACTCATTTCCTGGACCTCCATTCCAATCTAATTCCTTTTATCTTTGAGTGAATCCCAATTTCCAAGCTTCCCGTTCCTAACAGGCCATTTTTAGGGCAGGAATCGCCTACAAAGGCACAAGGGGGCTGGGGGACAAAACCGATGGAGGAGTTGTTGCCCGAACCCACAGCCGCAGTTGGAGGGTGTCGAGGGTGGGGAGGATGTAGAAGAGCTTCTTTCGCGCCTGCTCCTATCACGAGAAGACCCAAGAGGCCGGAGCCGCCCAACCCGATGTTCTGCCGTAAAAACACCCCAGGCCAGACCGGTGTCGCGGGGTCTTCACCCTTCACTACCCTGCGGGGTGGGCGGGGCCGGCCGGGGCGGGGCGGGGCGGGGCGGGGTCCGGTGCAGAAGCGCAGCTCCCCCTCCGGGGACCCACGCGCCCCGGCCAGGCAGCCCCGCGCCTAAAGGTAGGGCGGGACTGCAGTTGTGCCGAGACTGACCGGCCCAATACTGCTCTAATGAACGGGGTGAAGGTCGGCGCCCCGAATGTAGGCTGAGGGAGAAGGGTGGGAGCCAGGGCGTCCCGGCGCCCACCGAAGCTGCAGAGTCCCCGGAAGCGCTGCACGCGCCGCGCCTGGTTGTTATGGCAACGTCCCCCCTCCCCTCCGCGCGGCTGGGTGCAGCCAGGACTTACCAATGGGTCCAGCGAGCCTGGCGCCGGAAGTGACGCGAGTTCACCTGCCGAGCTGGGGCGGGGGCGGGGCGCGCGGGGGAGGGGCTCGCGGGGGAGGGGCGGGGAGGCAGAGGTGCCGCCGCCGCCGCCGCCGCCGCCTGGACACGGCTGAGAGAGTGTGCGGAGCTCCGGGACATCCGGATCCCGAGCTACCTACCTGCAGCCGCTGCCCACGATCGGGCCGCCACCATGGAGCTTCTGCTGGGCTTGGTGCTCCTGTGTGGGGTCGCGGGTGAGTAGCGGACCCCGGGATCCTCCGCGCCCACCAGCCAGGCCCCGGGGGCGCTTGGCTGCCCGCGGCCACCCGGGAACAATGGAACCTGGGGGGAGGGGGACGGGCGCGATTTGGGGGTCCTGCGGCCGGGGCGGCGGCGGTGCAGTTACTGCATCGAGGTGATTTCGGGGGCGGAGGGGGCGAGCGCGGGAGCCGCGAGGATGGAGCGCCCCAGCGGGGAGCAGCCGCGGCGGGGAGCCGGGGGTGCCCGAGGGGCGTGGGCATCCGGGCTCCACCGGCTCCACCGGGACCCACCGGGATCCGGGCGCTGCGGCGGCTGGGCGGCTCGGGGCGTGGCGCGCTCTCTCCCGGGCTGTCTCTGCCCCGGCCCGGCTCCCCTTCGTTTTTGTTCGGTGCCGGCTCCGGGTGAGCCCCCGCGTGGTGCCCGGCCAGCCTTTGGACTGGATTTCCGAGCCTGGGGCGGCGAGTTTGCAGGTGTCGAAGCGGGGAGGCCGGATCGCGAACGCCCTCGGTGGACGCGGTGCGGTGGCGCGGCTCGGATTGTCCGGGCGCCCTCGAGGAACGCCTTGGGGTGGGAACCCGCGCCAGGCTTCCCCGTTCCGGGTCTCACGGGCCACGCGAGCCCAGACCCAGCGGTGCGACCGGCCCTGGGGGGGAGTCACGGAGGAGACCGTGGGAAACCTTAGCGCGTGGGGCTTGCATTGGGAATGAGTTGGTTCCTTTTGCAGATAATGATATACAAGTAAGGACTCGTTGCGGGGTCATCCTGGTACGGGATTTCTCCGTGTGTGTGTGTGTCTGTGTATGTGTTCCCTGGGAGGGAGAAAGAAGGCATTCTAAAAATGTGTGGATCCGTAGAAGGCATAAACATTTTGACATTTAGAAGACTGGTTCCCCCCCCCCCCCATTAGTGTGGAACCAACCAGCTGGTCGCCCCTGTCACACTAAAGAAACACTTGGGGCATTTTATAAGCGATTGAGTCATTTTTAAAATAAAAGATCTGTAGGTAGGACTCCGGGAGGCGCGTGGTGTAGCCTCCGGAAGGATTTTTTTTTTTTAATTTAAATGCTGAGAAGCCGGGTCGAGTGGCCCCGTCTGTGGGGATGGCTCCCTGCTTCCTGTTGAAATGTTAATTCCATTGTTGGATGCCACAGCTGTGAGCATTACTCCTGGGATCAACATTCTATTAACAACTCTAATCTTCGATCTGAGGCTTTAGAGCTCTCTCCACTTTTTCTTCCTCTTTTTTTTTTTTTTAATTTAGGCTTGGCTAAAATTTCGAAAGTAAATAAGTAAATCTTCAGGGAAAAGATGAAGGAGGGCGAACGAGGCGGTGTTCACAGAACATGGTGCATTCCCACCTTTGTTTGGTCAAATTCTAAATTGAAGTTGAAGTTGGAAAAATCTAGATTTATGACCTCTAGATAATGTTCAAGCCACATCTAAAGCAGAAAAGTGAAAGAAATACCAATACCACGTGCAGATTTTTTGGGGGGGGAGGGAGGAGGCAGGGAGAGGAACTAAGTTCCTCAGTACCTGAGGTTTATTATGCTATTTTTTTCTTGATTGTCTCACTTTGACAGGCACAATCACAGTTAAAGCTGTTTAAATACATATCGTCATCTTGCACATAAAGTTTGCTTTAGGGTGTGGTGGGTATATCATTAAAGGTCAAATGAGCAAGACATTATTTTCCCACCCAGTTTTTCAGCTTAAGTAACAACTCAGGCTCAGTTAGCTCAGGCTAGCTGCTCAGGAGGCTGAGGTCAGGTTTCAAAGACAATCCAGGCAAGATCTATGAGATTCTTATCCCCCAATTAGCCACTGAAAGCTTGAAATGGAGCTGTGGTTCAAATGGTTGCGCACCAACCTGGAACTAAAAGGGTAAGGGACAAGTGCCCAGGCCCTGAGTTCAAGCCCTAGTATTAGCATGTGCTCATGTGTGCACACACATACACACCACTCAGAAACTGCAATTGATGTGTGGCTTTGCTTGTGTTTTTTAGATATTTCTAACTATGTTAGAAATGCATTGCCATGAATTCAATTTCTGGGTTGACATGATTGACTATCAGCAAAACAAGGCGCACTTATTTTTTTTTTTGTGGCCAGTCCTGGGACTTGGAGCTCAGGGCCTGGGCACCGTTCCTGAGCCTGTCTGTGCTCAAGTTAGCACTCTATCACTTGAGCCACAGCACCACTTCTGAGTTTATGTGTGTATTTGGTGCTGAGGATTTGAACCCAGGGCTTCAGGCATGATGAGCAAGCACTCTACCACTGAGCCACATTCCTAGTCCCAAGGCATGCATCTTAAATAAATATTTCAATGCAAATGTGATCATCTAGATTTGTCTATAGGTCTTAAAGAGTTTTGTGTTTTGGTATGGTTGCTGATGGGATTGCTGGTGTATTATTTCAGTCATAAAAAGAGAAACTGAGGCATGCAGTACTCTCCAATCTGTGCTGATGTCACTAGCCATTTAACCTCTAAAACAACTGCTTTCCTCTTTGATTACCTCTAATTGACGTACTAATTTCTACTACTAATAATCTGTCATTTATTAACCTGCTGTTGGTGACTGTGTACCAAATATGGTTAGCCTTTCAATTTTATGATCTTAGTCGAATCTTTTCAAGGGCATTCCTGGAGGACTCAAGATTCTCCAGCCCTTAGACCAGGTCTGGAAACTGAAGTGACCTATGTCTCTGCAATGTTGCCATTGCATAGTTTTTAAAGCACCAGAGTGTTGATAGATTCACACTGACAGTCTGAGTGACACGTCAGTGTTTCCTCTCCCAACCTTTTAGCCCTTGGATGTTGGCCCAGTCACTGACTTTTCTGTGCCTCAGTTTCTTTATTGAGAGTTGGGAGCATTGGGAGGGGAGGGAGAGATGTTGGTCAAAGGATACATTATTTCAGTGAGATAGGAATAAGTTCAAGAGATGTATTGTTAAACATGCTGACTGTATATTTAACAGCATACTCTTGAAATATTTGAGTAGATTTGGTGTTATCTCAAAATGGTTTGAGAATGCATATGATAATTAGCTTGATATAGTCTTTCCACAGTGTTTTATCTTTCTGACTACATTGTCTTTTTTTGTTTGTTTTGGTTTGGATTTTGAGACAGGATTTTGCTGTATATCTAGGTTTTCTGAGAACTTGTAATCCTTTTGCATCTACTTTTGGAGTTCTGGGATGTTGCATCACACCTAGCTCTTCTTGTTCTCTTTTTTATCTCTTTTCTTCTGTAGCCAAAAGTAAAGATAACTCATGGACCAAATGTGTTTATGTCTTTGCAGTTCCTTTGGTACTAATTGATTCTTCCCAACTGCCTGCTAAAATAGGTCCCTTAATAGGGAACTACTCAGGAGGCTGAGACTGGAGGATCAATTTTTGACCCCAGCTGGTCCAGACTCCTATCTCCAATTCATCACCAAAAGGCCAAAAATAGAGCATGGCTCAAGTGGTAGAAGGCTAACCTTGAGCAGAAAAGCTCAGGGACAGTGCCCAGCTCTACGTTCAAGCCCCAGGACAGGTGCAAAAAATATAAGTGAATGAATAGCCCCCGCCTTCCTTTTTTTTTTTTTTTTGGTGGTCCTAGAGCTTGAACTCTGGGCCTAGGCTCTGATTCTGAGCTTCTATGTGCTTAAGACTAGTGCTTTACCACTTAAGTCACAGCACCATTTCAGGCTTTTTCTGAGTAGTTTAATGGAGACAAGTATCTCATGGATTTTCCTGCCCAGGCTGGTTGTGACTGTGATCCTCAGATCTCAGCCTCCTGAGTAGCTAGGATTACAGGCGTGAGCCACTGGTGCCCAGCTTAAATATGTCCTTTAATGCCATCTTTTCCATCCTTTAGCTCATAGCTTACTTCCCACAATCGTCCTTAAACCTGGATGGCTTCAACACTTCTAATTACTTGCTGTTAAAGCTAAGTCCACTTTGGATTCTGGGCTATTAATTTTTTTTTAATTGTCATAAAGGTGATATACAAAGAGGTTACAGTTATATCGGTCAGGTGAAGAGTATTTCTTTTTGGACAATGTCACTCGCCGTTTTTCCCTCTACTATTTTGAACTTCCTAACAAACTTGAGTATTGGAGACTCAAGTCCCCAAGTGAACCCATCCATTAAGTTGATTAAATCATCCAGTCAAATATTTATGGTCTTTTTGTATGCCGTGCCCTGTGCTTAGGTACCTCTACAATAGTATATGACATTGCACAAGCGTGGCAAGCCATTGAAGGTAGAGCTTTGTCTAGAGATGGAGATCTGAAGAGTCTAATGTGTCTTGAAAGTTGAGAAGTTCACTGTGTATAAAGCATGCAACAAATGCCACTTAGACTTAATGTACATCTGAGTCATTCTTATGAGGAGCCCTGCGGTGATGTCACTGCTGACCACATTCAGTGTGGGCAAAGATTAAAGGCAGTGCTGGAGCTTGGTAGGTAATAATGGATTGGTCAGGGTGGGCCCCTCACTCCGGACACTCAGAAGTTTGTAACTTGCTGAATAATGGAGGTTCCACCCCAAGACATACTCTCTTGAGTGTTCAAATACTGCAGAAGTTCTGGATGCAGGATGAAACAATAGAGCTACCACTGGAATCGGTTTGTGATGGTGTAGACCAGCGCAACCCCTGCAGACACACAGTTGAGCCATGTTGGACTTTGCTTTGGTCTGGAAAAGCTTGGACTTGATGGCTGGTGGCTTGCAGGAATGGTTCAAGTTAGAACTGTTAGGTTTTTAAAAAGAGGTGGCCGAGTAAGAACAGCACCACGCACGTGGTATTCAGATAAGGGGTAGGTTTATTCAGTAGACCTGCTGGGACCAGGCAAGGTTGGCACTCCACGCGGCTGGCAAAAGAGGCCATGTGGTCCTCTGGTTAGGCCTTATATAGGGTAGGGGGCGGGGAAGGGTGTGTCCAGGTAAAGAGAAGTGGGATCAGGTGGGAGAAAGGTGTGGCCACATCAGATTCAGATGTGACCTCAG